TCATGCCTAACTATAGTACCAATAATTAATTTGGGATCTCTTATGTTAATTGGTATATATCAGAATTTGAAAGTTATATGTTGGTTAATTTTGTATGGAACTAAAAATGTTGCATGCATGTATCAGATTAATAATGCAGCGTGCTTGCCTCTTGAACCCAAATTTATCACTTTCTCGTAAAGTAAAGTAGTTTAGAATATCGTCTTGTGATATGTATCATAAGATTAGTTTTAGTGTTTATAAATCAAGTAGCTAGCTTGTCCCAAATGCTTGTAGAACGAAAAAGTTGGATAGACATGCTCAAATTATGAAGAGAATAACCAACACTAGAATTTGATACCATGTTGATAAGTAATCAACAAATAATTACACTCGGCCCTTTAAATCTTAAATTATTGGAGGTAGAGAACAACTTTGACACTAAGGATTCATATATGTTGTATTTTATTTATTTATTTATTTATTTTATTTATAATTATTAACAAAAGGTGGAGTTTCAAACTCAAAGTGCATGAGTTAAAACCCAACACCCAATTCATTAGGATATTGGACCTCATGCAAATTTTCATATTATGTGAATTTTTGGGATCGGGTTATCAACAAGGGGGTGTTGTGTGTGTAGATTATACATCAATTGAGGATACCAGCCTCCAAACCCACAACCTTGCACACTTAACCACAGTGGTAGGAACAAGGACCAGATTAAAATAAATGACGATCAGAAGTAAGCTAATGAAGCAAAGACTGATGAGAGAAGAAGAAAGAAAATTCATATATTTGTTGCGCTTAATTATATACACGCCCGACGACTACATACAAATAATTGTGGGGGCACATATGTCGTCTGACGTGTATATATTCAAGCTTCGAATGGTTGCAATTGTAGTATGCCTTTCAATTTACATTGTTATTACTCTCTTAAATGGTATCGGAAGAATCACGAACACTAGATAACTTAGATTAGTGTTGTGAATTTGTTGTGAATTGTAAATTACCAGTAAAAGGTTATCAAATTATACAGGTGTGACAAAGTCTATAGCCCATGCTAGTCATTAACTTGATCTAAAATTCGAAATGGAACAAGAGAGGCTGCGGAGTTGTTGGCTTCACTTTTTTATTTTTTAAATTTTTTTATAAAGATGATGATGATGAAGTAATCACCGCGATAAAGAAACTCCAATTAATTAAAATATGATGGTGGTGAAGTAATCACTGTGAAATTTCGTAACTGAAAATGATATTTAACGAATCAAGTGGTCCGAAAAAGAAAGGGATTCTTTCCGGATCTCTTTCATCAAATCCATCCCATTAATTAGTTCGGGTTCTTGAAATTTGATCCAATGACTAAAATTATTATAACTTTTAAAATGATCTCTTGTTTTTAACATTTGAATCAAATTTCAAGGGTTTGGATTGATTGATAAGGTAGATTTGATAGAAAAGATTCATTTCCGTCGGAAATGAGCTTAAAGGTCGATAGAGAATGGTAGATTGACTTGACTGATAAGATCATGTGACCAGTAGTTGTATCATTGAATTGAATTGACAATTTGATATTCCAAAAAATAAAAAGAGAAAAATAATTGAATTGATTTGGTGTTGTCATACATACGTATGGACCAGGTCTAAGACATGGGTAGACATGGGTAGAAATAGACAATGAGATACTTGTCCTTCTCATTCACTTTTGACTTCGACAATCATATGCCATGATAGCATATGGGGCACATATAACTCGATACAAAATAGGATAAAATATTCTTTAGTCAAAAATAGGGTCCGACTCCTGTTTCAACCCGTATATTTGTTTTCTTATAATTATTAGATTTTTATTTTCAATTTTAATCATTCATATTTCGCATTACTCAATGTTATATACAATTGAATAAAAATTATAAAAAATAAACATAAACACAATTTTTATATTGTTATTTATACAGCACAGTTTGGTTTGTGCATACCAAATCGTACAAGCAAAATCGTTAATTAACCAAAGTTTGCAAGTCGGAAACGTTGTTGAAAAATTAAGGTTTGCCTACTCTTATGAGGAGGACTTGCAATGATAAGTCGTTTGACATGTCAGATCGTCATGGCTTGTAGTGATCCTCATTTATTCTATTCAATGAGTATGTCTAGCAATTATTTTATTTCTTTTTAGGTGAACATTTGTCCGGTAAATGGAACTTTCAATGAAACAAGATAAAAGAGTCATCAATAGCATGTCTTTACAGCAGCCTGCTAAAATCTTTTCAAAGAAAATTACGTGGAACAAAACTTTAAAGTAAAATCAAAGGCAATTAACATGAGACTTTAGGACGATCATCTCGAAACGAAAGGTCCCGATCCGGGAGACTAAAATGCACAACTAATTCTGGGAACAACTCCATCCACACTTTGAGTTTTTAGTACTCTCTTATTCAAAACTAGATGCAACAACACGAGAACAATGAAGTTAAACAAATAGAGCAAACAACATGAAAAACAACAAAAAAACATTATCTCATTAATGAAGTCGGCTGTATTAATACTTAAACAACATTGTACGTGATTTTGCGTCATGTTTTCAAGTTAAACAAATAGTGAACACCATTATTTTTTTTTACCACGCCACACCTACAACGGAATGGCCTTTGATTTTACTGCAACCCTTGAGATCTGCAACAGCAATTCCCTACATGGATGTTGAAAGTCTAGGGATCTGGTAATTATACGACAATCAATTCTACTGGATTGAGTAATTACAATTTGTATGCTAATCCTTTTCGTCAGAACGTTTTCTTGGTAGGGAATAGTTTCAACAATAAAGAATTAGACGATATTACGGAAGAGGATGTAGAATGCATTAGAAACCCTAGAGGAGGACGGCTAAGGAGACATGGTGGTCTTGGGGCTAGAGAGTGTTGAAATCTATTTGTCCCACATCGGATAGAGGGAAGGAGAAAGAGGCATTTAAATAGAATTACTCCACTCTAACTAACATGGAGGACTTTTGTGATAAAATCTCACACCTGACGGATTGGGTAGGTGGTAAAGTGGGGACAATATCGGTGTTGTTGGAGTGGGCTCTCGGCCCGTCGACCTGAAAAATTCTACATGGTTTCAGAGTAGGAATAACCTGTCTCCATGTCTCTGTGATACTTGTTGCTCTGTTCTTCAAGTCTGTGTCTCTGTGATACTTGTTGCTTTGTTCTTCAAGCATTCACCCTAGCCTCGGAGTCTGTGTCTCTGTGATACTTGTTGCTTTGTTCTTCAAGCATTCACCCTATCCTCGAGTCCGAGGCTGATAGCTCACTTGGAGCTGGTCACCAAAATCAACCGGAGATCGATGTAAATCTAAATCAAAGTTTGAGTTCTGTGCTTCTAAATGAGTTCAACTACTTACCATGGTCAAGGGTAGTTTCACTTGCCTTAGGAGGAAGATCAAAGCTAGGGAGCATTCACCCTTGATCTTCCTCCTATCCTCGAGTCCGAGGCTGATAGCTCACTTGGAGCTGGTCACCAAAATCAACCAGAGATCGATGTAAATCTAAATCAAAGGTTGAGTTATGTGCTTCTAAATGAGTTCAACTACTTACCATGGTCAAGGGTAGTTTCACTTGCCTTAGGAGGAAGATCAAAGCTAGGGTTCATAAATGGAAGTATTAAAGCTCCTGATGCTTCCTCTCCCACTTATGAATCTTGGCTCAACAAAGATCAGTTGGTCATGTCTTGGCTCCTTAACTCCATGGAGCGGAAGATAGTTGAGATATTCAGCTACTCTTAGTCATCTTTCTAGCTATGAAAGTTCGTGCAAGAGATGTGTGGAAATCAGAATAATGCAGCCAGTGTGTTTCAGCTTAAACGTTTTGTTTAGCTTCTTGGAAGTCTGAAAGGTATGTGGAACGAGTTGGAGATATATCGTCCACATATAACTGACTAAAACCCACTTCTTAAAAGGGATGAATAAGACAAAATCTTCCAGCTTCTCTCTAGTATGGGTTGTGAATATGAGGATCTATGTAGCCACATTCTCATGAATCTAGAGCTTCCTACCTTTGCAAATGTTTGTGCAACAATTCAAAGGGAAGATGTGAGGAAAAAGGTTATGAGCGCTAGTACCATGACGACTGCCTTGGAAGTTAGGGCTTACTTTTCCAGTGATAAGAAGTACAAAGGAAGAATATTCATCTCAAATGCAAACATTGTGATTCCACTAGACACGTGATGGATTATTGCTGGATTCTTCACCCTGAGCTCAAACCAGACTTCATGAAAAATGAAAGGTTTATTCAGAAGAAGCCCCAGTTCCCCAGTTACAAAGTTAATCATGCCTTATCCTTGTCAACTAAAGGCTCATAGGATCTTTTGAAATTTACCTCTAATCCCACCACACTTATAAATGAGTTTGCTGCGTACCTTCAAATGAAAAAGGAAGTCCGTGGGAGTGATGAAGCTGTTACCTCTGGAAATGGCAACTCAACTGCTTTGCTGGGAAAGTTTGCAGGTTTTCTGGCTGACTCGAAAAAGCTCACTCAGGACAACATGCAAGGTATATTGACAGCTTTCAAAACTGCTCTAAATATAAATCAACTGCATGATTTGTGGGTCATAGATTTCGGTGCCACATACCACATGACAAATCAATTTTACAAGTTGCATGATTTAAAAAAATTTCCTACACCTTCACATGTTTCAGTTGTTAATGAGGAGGGAGCTAAAATGTTAGGAATGAGAAAAATACATCTAGTGTTTGATAATATAGGGTGCGTTTGTTGCGCCGGACTGTCTCGGACTGGACTAGCTGTCGGGACTAAGCTGGACTGGCTTAGATTGGACTAAGCTGGACTAACTTAGTGAAGCGTTTGGTGCAGTCTCGGACTAAGAAGCAGGATAAGAAAAACAGTACTGTTCACCAGATTTGTGTTTGCTTAGACTAGGACTACAAATTTTTGCCATTGTGTAATAGAGTAATGCTACAAATCTCATGATATGGGTTAATTGGAGCATATTTTTGCCATGTATATTATGAATCTTAAAAAAAATTGACAATTGTTTTGTTTCTATTACCTGCTAATAGAATTGGGTTTAATTTGCAAATGTAGCTTGATTTAAACTCTATCACCCAACAGAAGAAATATTTTGCCTTAACTGAATTGCTAGCTCTCAGTGGGTTTGAGTGGAATGAAGAGAAAATGATGTTGGCTTGTGAGAAAAGTGCGTATGACGAGGCTACGAAGGTTTGCGTATATCTGATTGTATTTTTTGTTTTATCTGATTGTGTTTTGTTTTTAGAATCTCAGTTCCTTGATTAATTACACTGAGTTCAAAATCTCAGAGTTAATATCATCATCTTCTTAATTACGAATCAGGATAATGCACTAACAACATACATAGAAAAAGAAAAACCTCCATGGGAGGTAATTCCAAGTTCTTTACCGACACCATCACCATACACTCAGAAACCACTTGAAGCTAGATATTAGAAGGATTACAGTGCACATAAACAAAAACTGAGACTTGTATGAAAGACATAGCTTTTTAAATACCAGCTCTTTCATACTGTAAAGAAAAAAGAGTTATGACAAACTTATAGATGATCTGTTGATCTGCCAGCTTGTGTGGCAACATAAAAGAGTATATATATATATATATATATATGTATATCTTTTCGGAAAGGTTCACCCATCATCCCTCTGAAAAAAGGAAAAACTTAACATTGTTTTTTTGTTTTCCATAGCTAGCACACGTCAAAACATCCTGCCCTGTCCATTATTAATTGTTCTGCCTCTTGTCCTTTCTTCAAAGATCGATTTTTCACTTCTTCCTCTTTACGCTGCCCTCTTCATCCTGTAATAGACCAAGAATTAATATATTGTATTACACGCCTTGTGTTTTGTGTTTTTTTTTTTGTAGGGTAAAAAGGATGCAAGTGGATTGTACGATAAGCCTTTTCCGCACTACCACAGTTTGGGAGAGATTTATGCAAAAGATCGTGCTATGGGTGCAAATGCTGGTAACGCTGATGACGATGAAGAAGAAGTTAGACTTGAAGATGCCAATGTCAATCAACATGAAGGTGAGGATGAAAGTGGAAATGACTTTGATACTTCTTTCTCAGTACCAAATACCCAACAACAAAGGAATGCAGAAAGTAACACATCAAACATTAGTCGCAAAAGGACAAGAGTAGCGGATGAAATGGCCAAGCAATTCTCTATTATGGCTAAAGCTATAGCCGATGTGGGACCTAAGATTGATGGTCTAGTTCATGCACTGTCAACCGATATAAATCTGACCGAAATGCAAACAAAAACTTGACAGTGAGTTGACCAAAATGGAGTTTTTGTCTCCCATGGATTTATTTAAAGTCACTAACTTCTTGGCCAAAGAACATGACCTTTTTGAGGGTGTTTTTCAACATGTCTGATGAAAGGAAGAGTGCATATGTGACTACTTTGTTGCAGACTTGGATGCATAACGACATCTAAGTGATGGTCCAAATAATGTGAATGCTAGTTTTTTGCTATGACGTGCTTACTGCCATAATGACATATCAGGGAAAATTGTGAATGTTTTGTAAATCTAATGACTTATTAGATGACACCATAATGGTGAAGAACTACTTTTTGTTGGTATTATGATGTTTAGGCAGGTTAAGAATATTTTGTTGACAATCTGATGTGTAGGCAGGTTATGAATATTTGATAATATGATGCATACGCAGGGTATGACAAGTTTGCTTAGGTTGGTTATGGTGGTTAGATAGATGTACTTTAATGTAAAATATTAACTTTAATGAAGTTATTTCCTACTCTTTGTTTGTTACTAATATTTTTTTCTTCATTTATTTACTATTATACAAAATCCACCTCTTGAAGATCACTTTAGTTCAAGGGGAATCAAGTTTTTTGATTTGAAATGGTAAAACAAAATTTCTTCTACTCCTTGACATTATGTAGCAAAATATATTCTTGAAGAGTTAAGACTGAAAATGCTCCTAACAATTTCTTTCCATGTCCTTCTTGCTCATTAAGCATAATTCTATGCTCATTCACATTATGCACAACCAGTGGCGGAGCCAGGAATCTTACCACAAGGGGTCGTAGTGTAAAAGTCCAGAAAAAAAATTTAGGATGGAAATGTTAAAGTTAATGCTTTACTTAAACTGATTATGTGTAAAAGGGCTGACTGTTGCCTTTATTAGTCGACCCATTCTATTTATTAGTCGACCCATTCTATTTATCAGTCGACCCAATTACTTCAGTCGGCTTATGTATTGAACTAGGGCTGACTGTTGCCTTTATCAGTCGACCCATTCTATTTATCAGTCGACCCAATTACTTCAGTCGGCTTATGTATTGAACTAATTCTGTGTAAAAGGGCTGACTGTTGCCTTTATCAGTCGACCCATTCTATTTATCAGTCGACCCATTCTATTTATCAGTCGACCCATTTTATTTATCAGTCGACCTAGAGTAAATTCAATCGATCTAAAGTAACTCCTAAATACATGTAGAATCAGTTTGTTACTCAATGCATAATCAGTTTGTTACTTCATGCAAAATCAGTTTGTTACTCAATGCAGAATCAATTTGTTACTTCATGCAGAATCAGTTTGTTACTCAATGCAAAATCAGTTTGTTACTATTATATACTATATCAAAAAATATTAAAAAAAAGTATATAAAATATTTGATTTGGGACAAGGGCATTTTAGTAATCATACTGGTTTATATTCCGATTCTGCTGAATTAGTAAACAGCTTTATGGAATTGTATTCCGATTCCAGACAATTTTAGTAAACAATTTCAACAAGAATCTGATTCTGATTCCACCTCATTTCAATTCCTCCTCAATCAAATTCCTCCTCAATCTGATTCCTCTCAATTTGATTACGGATTAGTAAACGCGCCATAATAGTGGCCAATACATGCAACTTCAACAAATACAAGTACATAAGATCTCCATAATTTAGAAAATCCTAGTTAACATTAGTTAACATTAGCCAAAATAGATCTCTATAATTTACAAAATGGCTAGTTAACATAAGCCAAAATACTAGTGCAAAGCTAAGTTATAAGTCATAACATAAGATTGTATGATTAATAAAATACATCCATGTTAACGTTAATAAAATACATCCATGTTAACATTAGCCAAAATCCTCATCCGCTTGCGTTGTCGCTTAAAAGCCTTTGGACGAACACTTTCTTGAGTTCCGGTTTGATTGCCCTGAACACTCCCACATTTTTTGGTTTATCCAAAATAAGAGACAATGCATCAATTTGATCCATAAGAGAGAGACCCATTGCTTCAAGTTCATTAGCTATGTCAGTATGATCTGCAGTACCTTGAACTAAAGCTTCAGTTACCATTTGCATCCTCTTCCCACTTTCAACATAAAAATCTTTCAGTCCACTGATAATTGCCTCGGTTCCATCACTTGAACTTCCCACAGCTCTTTTCCTCTTTCTTTGGCTATTTTCAGATGGGGTGCTTTGTTGGCTTTGTTGGTTCATTGAAGAAACAAAATTTTCACCTCCAATATCACTTTCACCAACATGATCATGACTTTGTTCCTCCACCATTTGAGCAGGGGTTTCGACTACATTACCCGTAGCCCGATCTTTTCCAAATATATATGCAAATCTATCAAACAGTGGAAAAGGTTTGCTTCTCCATCCATCGGCTTCTTTATTTCTCTAAGATTATATCAACATAGCAAAACTAAAATTTAGCATGCGTAACAAATATAGGAGCAAGAATATAACTAATGCATAAATAAAATAGGATATGAACCTGCACATAAGTTTGCCATGCGTCATCACTGTCAACTTCAACGCACTTTTTGACATCATTCCATGCAAATCCACTTGTGTTTATCATGTCAACGACCATACTATATGTTTTTTTCCATTTTCTTCAACTTGGACTCAATATGTGGATTTGCCTTTATATTTGAATGAGGACATAAAACATTGACAGCTTTTTGCTATTTCAACCAAAGTACCTTGTTTGAAAGCACCGGTGTCACACCGTTGCTTCCGAGCAACAAAATCCTCAAGAACTCCTAGTAATACTTCTTCCTCAAATGCTTCCCATTTACGCCTTCTTCCTTTTGGCTCTTGAGTAGCATTCAAAATATTATCGTTATCCATACCTAAACAAAAAAATATTTTAATGAAGGAAAATACCATACAAATAATCAATTTGCATAATATCCAATCAACTTGCATAATATCCAATCAACTTGCATAATATCCAATTAATTTGCATACCATCCAATCATTGTGCTAATATCTAACAAATGCATGATAAAAAGGAATACTAAAATAAAATGTTATCATTAAAACATATAGCTAGTTCGGTTGCTGGTTCCTAATTGCTCTCCACTCATTATACATTTCCTGAGCCATATCATTCCTCATTGCAGTCCACTGGTCCGATGTTTGAACACTACCAACATATTCACCTTCTTCTGTATTTTGTCCATCTTCTATTATTGGCAAATTCTCCATTGGATCTACTGACATCTCTTGCCTAATAAGATTGTGTAGTAGGCAACAAGCGGTAATTATTCGACCTTGTGTCCTTATCGGATAGAAAGATGGACTCCTTAGTATCGACCACCTTCCTTTTAGCAAGCCAAAACAGCGTTCAATTACATTCCTTGCCTTAGAATGCTTCATGTTAAAATATTCTTCCTTATTAGAAGGTGTTCGTCCCTCCCATTCAGATAAATGATAAGGTATTCCTCTATAGGGTGCAAGGAATCCTTCACCATTTGTATAACCACCATCTACAAGGTAATAACAACCTAATGAAAAAAAAAACAGACCTTATTAGTGTTTTGTAGTTGACACAAACAGAACTAAACCTAACTTACAAAGTTGAGACTAAGTAATAGTCTTACCCGCTGGTACCTTAAAACCATTAGGCCTACTAATCGCATCATGTAGCACTCTAGAGTCTGATGCGGAAACCCTCCCACCCCGGAAACACATATATGAACTGCATATCTCCTGAACACACACCTAACACATTAGTTGCGACTCGACCCTTTCTTGTTCGGTATCTTGGTTTGTCAATTTCAGGTACATGCACATCAATGTGTGTTCCATCCAATGCTCCCAAGCAATTCTTAAAAAACCAAAAATAATAAACTTTTTGTTAATTTATACAAAGGGAATGAAGAGTTAAAGCTTAGGGAAAATGAAAAAAAATTTCTCATCATACCTTAAAACATCGCCACCTAGCATCTGTAGAATCAATAGGCACAGGCTGGGGGACTTTTAGTAGGGTACCTTGTAATCGCAAAATTCCTTGCAATACGCTATTGAAATACCTACTTATAGTCTCTCCCGACCTATAAAATCTACCGCCAACACTACGATTCTTAGTATGATGTGCTAATATTTGTAAAGTCATACACACCTGTTCCTCTACAGACACCAAACCATCAGTTTTTACCCTCCATCTTGACGAAGTAAGTCGCATAATATGCCAAAAGTCATTCTATCCATTCTCAATTCGTTAACACATTCAGTATCAGTATTCCCTATTATACCATTCAGATAACACAAACTAATCTCTCGTCTAATAAGTGAACGGTTAGTCAATGTGGGTCGTTCAACATGTCTCTGTTTGCCACGTAGCATCATCACCACAAGAATCGTACAAATACAAATTGTCTCCAAATAAGACATCTCTAACAATAAGATCAATAAAAGCTTCCTTCGATCCATATCTATCCAAAAAAAAAAAAAAACAATAAAACAAATTAACTAAATCATTAACCCGAGGCAACAAATATACAGGTGGCGTTGAAAAAAAAAAAGTTTTCATTAACCCGAGGCAACAAATATACAGGTGGCGTTGAAAAAAAAGTTTTCATTAACCTGAGGCAACAAATATACAGGTGGCGTTGAAAAAAAAAAAGTTTTCATTAACCCGAGGCATCATATTCAAAATGTTCTACTCTTATACATCTATAAACATGTGTCTAAGAACACTAGTATGAGGATTGCTATCATTGCTAGGCATTGCATGTGAAAAGGGAAATTAAAGGACACCTGTAATGCAGTAGCCTTAGCCTTAGCCTTCCGTTTATGCTCATCTTCTCTGCAACCAACAACCACAACAAATTGCAATTCAGCATCAACCCCACACAATACAAAACATTCACATTGTATACACACTGCATACATACACACTGCAAACACAGTACATACATACACACACTACATACACTGCATACACTACACACACACTACATACACTACACACACACTGCATACATACACACTGCAACACACATACATACATACATACACCACACACATACACTACACACACACACATACACTACACACACACCCTGCAAGTACACACACAATGCATACATACATACACACACTGCATACACCCTGCATACATACACACTGCATACACAGTACACAAACACACACACTGTATACACCTTGCACACACAGTACACAAACACACACACACTACATACACTACACACACACCCTGCAAGTACACACACAGTGCATACATACATACACACCCTGCATACACCCTGCATACATACACACTGCATACACAGTACACAAACACACACACTGCATACACCTTGCACACACAGTACACACACACTGCACACACACACACTGCATACACACTCATTCACACACACACTGCACACACACACACTGCTTACACACTGCACACACACACACTGCACACACACTCACACTCACACTCACACTCACACTCACACTCACTACACATACACTACACACACACACTGCATACATACACACTGCAAACACAGTACACTACACACACTACATACACTGCATACACTACACACATACACACTTATTCACACACACACTGCACACACACACTGCTTACACACTGCACACACACACACTGCACACACACTCACACTCACACTCACTCACACTCACTACATACACTACACACACACACACTGCATACATACACACTGCAAACACAGTACACTACACACACTACATACACTGCATACACTACACACATACACACTTATTCACACACACACTGCACACACACACACTGCTTACACACACTGCACACACACACACACTGCACACACACTCACACTCACACTCACTCACACTCACTACATACACTACACACACACACTGCATACATACACACTGCAAACACAGTACACTACACACACTACATACACTTCATACACTACACCCTGCATACATACACTACACACACACACTGCATACATACACACTGCAAACACAGTACACTACACACACACACTACACATACACTACACACACACACTGCATACACTACACACACACCCTGCAAGTACACACACACTGCATACACCCTGCATACATACACACTGCAAACACAGTACATACATACACACACTACATACACTGCATACACTACACACACACTACATACACTACACACACACACTGCATACATACACACTGCAAACACAGTACATACATACACACACTACATACACTACACACACACACACACACACTACATACACTACACACACACACTGCATACACTACACACACACCCTGCAATACACACACAGTGCATACATACATACACACACTGCATACACCCTGCATACACCCTGCATACATACACACTGCATACACAGTACACAAACACACACTGTATACACCTTGCACACACAGTACACAAATGACACCGTAATCTTATATTATTACATACGAATCGAATAAATTCAAGATACAAGATCTTTGGACCAATTTTATGAATCAATATTCTGTTAAACGTCCTTGATTCGGTATCAATTTCCTAAGACACATAAAGCAGAATAATAGAGCAACAGAGTAAAACCAGAACTCAAACTAATCAATCGTGCCTCAAGAAGATCTCCCTATTTAGATCATATCACCAGATTCACCACATCCATTTCTACCAAATATCACGATGCAGACTATCAATTCCAAACCATTAACGTAATCCGAATGAAACACTCAAAACCAAGAGCGATGCACACATCTAAACATAAAGTTGATAAAAATCTCAACATTAAAGAACCATTTCAACTATATTGGCATAGAAGAAAAACAAAACGTCTGTGTGTGTGTATACATATGCAACTCAACCACTAAATTCCTCATCGAAACTTTTGATTCGTTTATAAAATTAAACAAACAACAATTACCAAAATCAAATTAATCCGAATTCCAACTAATAAACAACCTAATCAAATCATACATCGATCAAGCAAACCAATCAAATCTCCACAATTTCCATCAATAATTTTCAATCAATGGATTTGATTAGATCCAATAAATACCTAAACAGATCCAACGATGATATTGTTGATGGGGATGAAGATCAGCTTGACGAAGAACCCGACGAAACCCATCACGACGAACCCGATCGCTGTCCGGAGCGCGACCTTGGAGAATTCTACACGACAATCAACCATCAAATCTCATCAATTACACATGCATATCAAAGAATATAACTTGTGAGAAAACACAGATCCGACCCGAATGCTGAATTACCTTTACGATCGGGCTTGTGGCAGCGCTTGACGAGGCGAATGCTGTCCTTGGAGAACTCTCGGAGCAGATCTGTTACGTGAAGACGAGGGAGCGGACGACGAGAGGAACAGATGAGGAGCAGGATGCAGATGAGGGCGACCAGGATGCAGCTGACGGCGAGCAGGACGCAGAGATGAGGATGAGGAGGACGACGTGAGGGAGGAGGTCTTACGAATCCGGACGTTTTTGGGGTGGTTCGCTAAGAACTGCTAGCGAAGGGTTTAATCCGTGCGAGTCGGATCTAATCCCATTAAACGTAATCCTTGCCCCTACCAAACATCAGACTACAATACCAATTAGTGTAGTCTAGTCCAGTCCCCCCTAAGAAGGTCAAACAAACACGCCTATAAAGTCTAAAGCCTTGTACATTCTTTCATTTCCTTTTCAACTTCCCTCAGTTGGAAAAATCACACATGCCTTAAACTGTTCAGTTACTTTCTCCCCTTACTATATCACCAAGAAGAAGATTGGTGACGGTTTTTTCTTAGATGGTCTCTATTACCTATCCAAGGAGACTTCATTTCTCAAGGGATTTCAAGTCAAGTTTAACTTAAGTCAAGACCAAAACATGTGGCATCAAAGATTAGCTCATCCATCCGAGCCCATTTTGTCAAGATCGTTTCCAAATCTGTGTAAAGAAGTGATCCAGTGTGATTCTTGTCACTTTTGTAAAGCTATTAGATTACCCTTTGGTTCATCCTCAAATAAGACCAAACAAGTTTTTGAACTTGTACATTTAGATGTATGGGGACCATTTTTTGAATCTTTTGATGGGTATAAGTATTTTGTAACTTTCATAGATGATTTCTCGAGAGTTACTTGGTTATACCTTTTGAAATCTAAGAGTGAAGTTGTTGAAGCATTCATAGATTTTCATAATCTTGTCAAAAATCATTTCAATTCCCAAATCCAAACGTTGAGATCTGATAATGGTTCGAAATATATGTCACACATCATGAAACAATTTTTAAGCAGTAATGGAATTTTGCATCAAACCAGTTATGTTGGTACTCCACAACAAAACGGCATAGCCAAGAGAAAGAACCGTGATCTACTTGAAAAAACAAGAGCTCTAATGTTGCACATGAAAGTACCAAAAAGATTTTGGTCCCAATGGGTCATGACAAGTGCATATATCATAAACAGATTACCAAGTTGAGTCTTGGAGTTCAAATCTCCAATGGAAGTGTTAAAAGGAAGGGATGTTAATCTGTCACATCTTAAAGTCTTTGGGTGCACATGCTATGTTCATATTCAATCTCAGCATAGGGATAAACTGGACCCTAGGGCTAACAAATGCATGTTTCTTGGTTACTTATCTACTAAAAAAGGTTACAAGTGCCATAGTCCTATGTTAAAGAGAGTTGTAGTTTCAAGGGATGTACAATTTGATGAAACTAAGTCATTTTACAATAAGCTGTATGATGATCAGTCACAAAGGGAGTCATGTTTTGAGTGTTTTTTTCCATTACCAAGGGCTGAGGAACTATCTTTCGAGATACAACCTTTTAATGCTCCTGCTTCAATTGATGAAACTCAAGGTAGCGATCACAACCCTGAGCAACAGATGCACAATAAAGAATCTCCTATTGAAGAGCCAGAAATCTCGACAGAAGAAACACAACAGGTCTAAGGTAAAAGAAATCCAGTGCGTGCTATACACCTTCCTACAAAGCTTCAAGATTATGTGACTTATTTAGCCAGGCATCCAATAAGTGGTTGCATGTCCTACCAGAAAGTTTCAAAATCTTATGCTATCTATTTGAACACCATCACCAGTCACTGTGAGCCTCAAACCTTTCCAGAAGCAAGCTGCCAAGAAGTGTGGAGAAATGCCATGAAGGAAGAGCTTCATGCTCTCACCAATCACAACACCTGGAGTGTAGTTAGACTTCCTCTAGAAAAAAAAGGCAGTTGGTAGTAAGTGGATCTACAAGATCAAATTCCACTCAAATGGATAGATTGAAAGACACAAAGCTAGGTTGGTGGCTAGAGGAGTCACTCAAACATATGTCGTTGACTACAAGGAAACATTCGCTCTAGTTGCCAAGATGAACATTGTGAGGGTGTTATTGTCTGCTATTATGAATAAATGATGGTCTCTATACCAAATGGATGTGAAGAATGCATTCTTACATGGCGACCTTGAAGAGGAGGTCTACATGAAGCTACCATCGGGACATCCTCAATACAATGAGCCTGGCATGGTGTGTAGGTTGTACAAATCCATTTATGGATTAAAACAATCCTCAAGAGCCTGGTATGCCAAGCTCAGTTCGGTTATTGAAGAACCTGGTTTTCAAAGAAGTCATGCAGACTCATCCATGTTTGTTCGAACATGAGTGGTTGGCAAACTCGTAGTGTTGATCTATGATGATGACTTAATAATCACAGGGGACATTGCTGATGAAATCACAAACCTCAAGGTCCCTCTACAACAGAAGTTCTCCATCAAAGATCTTGGAAGGTTAAAATATTTTTCTGGGGATAGAAATGGCCTCATCAAGTAAATGGCTATTTCTTAACCAAAGGAAATATATCCTCGATCTTCTCACGGAATCAAATATGAATAATGCCAAGCGAGTTCAAACTCATCTCAACAGCAAGCTCAAGCTTAGCTTGGAAGGCAAACCTCTGCCTAATATTGGTTACTATTAACGGCTCGTTGGTAAGTTAATTTATTTAACTATCATAAGACCAAATATTACATATGCAGTGAGCTTAGCTAGTCAATTCATGCATGCATCTACAATAGAACACTTCAACCTCGTTAAGAGAATACTTCGTTATCTCAAATGATTGATTGGAAGAGGAATTCTCATGAAAAAGAATGATAACACTCAAGTTATTGGTTACTATGATGCTGACTGGGCAGGAAACCAAATATATCGAAAGTCTACCACATGTTATTGCACGTTTGTAGGAGGAAATCTGGTAACATGGAAGAGTAAGAAGCAAAGTGTCATTGCAAGATCTAGTGCAGAAGCTAAGTATAGATTGATGGCATCCACATCATGTGAATTAATATGGCTTAAAGGTCTTTTGAGTGATTTGGGGTTCCAAACAAAGCAACCTATGTCAATGTATTGTGATAATCAAGCTGCAATGCACATAGTATCCAATCCAGTGTTCCACGAATGAACAAAACATATTGAGGTTGATTGCCACTATGTCCGTGCTCATGTGCAAACTCAAGTGATTTAAACTCTCTACACAAGGAATGCTGATCAGTTCGCTGACATTTTCACCAAACCATTACCTCCAAATTAGTTTAAGCGTCTTCTATCCAAGCTCGGTTCCATCAACATTCTGGACCTAACTTGAAGGGGAGTATTGAAAGTCAAGAGTGGGTTTTTCGAACTATTGGTTAGGTTGATTATTAGGGTGTAGTTGTCACCTTACTTCTAGTTATATCTTGTAAAGATCTTGTATCTCATTTCCTATATTTCAAGGGTGGTTATATCTTTTTAGCTTTTTCCCTTACCTCACTTTATGCTCCTTGTTTTATGAAGCTGCTGTTTAGGAGTGATTCAAGGGTGATCAGTATGTTGATCACTCCTTGCTCTATACATCTTGTATCCTTGTGTTGTTAGTTCCTCATAAATTATAATACAAACAAACACTTAAAACTCAACATGGTATCAGAGCCAAAGGACGGGCTCGTACTGCCATGTGATTAGGTGGGTCCTCTTTGGCCCCACACAATGGGTGAGTCTCGACATGGCTGGATGTAAGCCAAAGATGCCACGTGATTGGGTGGGTCTCTGTTTGGCCCCGTGCGATGGATGAGCCCCGACTTGGCTCCACGTGGTTGCTGGTGTCTAGATCTCCAAGTGTGACAAAATGGGGTCTCATGTGCGAAGGAGTGTTGAAACCCATTTGTCCCACATCGGACAGAGGGAAGGAGAAAGAGGCATTTAAATAGAATTACCCCACTCTAACTAACACTAAGGCTTTTTGTTATAAAACCCCACACCTGACAGATTGGGCATGTGGTAAAGTGTGGACAGTATCGGTGTTGTTGGAGTGGGCCCTTGACCCGTCCACCTGAAAAATTCTACAGAGAGGGTGAAGATGGGTAAACCTAGATAACCAAGGAGGAGAAAGATGGTGGCAGCAATGACAGAGGCGGGTCATTGGTTGCCCTTGACCCTAACAACTTAAAAAATCCATGTATATATGTTTGTGTTTTGTATTTGACCCCTTTAAACAGCTAAGACTTACAACCTCCTCCTACTACTCATTCTATTTTCTCCTATCATATTTATCTTCTTTTCGTCTCTTATTATGTGTGATTCTATTTGACCCCTTTAAATAGCTAAGACTTACAACTTCCTCCTCCTACTTATTCTATTTCTTCTATCATATTTGTCTTCTTTTCCTCTCTTCTTGTGTGCAACTCTATTGGGCTCACCATGTGCTTAATGAAATACCTTAGTTGACAAGCCTGTGCATTCTTCACCATTACTCTACAATATCATGCATCTACCCTCGACAAACCTCTACAAAAATGGTTGTTGACATATGTTGGCATAAGCTTTCAACATTTGTTGACAAAAATTGACATGTGCTTACTAGGTGCTTGACGAAATAACCCCAACAATGTTTTTTTGGTTGATATTATGACCCTATTATTTGAAGATTCTGGCTCTGTCACTAGGTGGTAGTGTGGGAGGTGGCGATGGCAGCAGTGGTTGAGGTGCCAGTTGTGATAGACATAGTAAGATAGCTTACATGATTTTTTTTTTATTATTAAAAGCTCTAACTTTATGTTATACGTACATTATGTTTTTATTATTTTAGACTATGTTCTTGGGAAACATAAAACATCAATTTGTTGTCACACTAAAAACTTAGGCTAAATCTTGTATTTTGTGTTTTTTGTTTCCCGAGTTTGATTTTCACCATCATATAAAAATGTGATATCTGAGATCACACTAGCCATCCTGTGGCAAGCCTCACTCCACACTTCGAGGCAATATTTAGTCTCTACTCGTTCAAGAATAGTGAGTTCTGGCAGCCATTGGGGGCTGAGGCAACGCCTTCAACT